CAATGAAATATATTTTTTATTAATATTATTATTTATTTATTATAAAAAATTGTTTATAATAATATTTAAATGTTTAATATTTAATTTGTTAATGTTTTTTTAAAGAGTTTTTCCATTTTCCCTCGTTCGACAACGTTTGCTGCTAATGTGATACTTCGGACATACTGAAGGTAGATTTGCTTTTAATAACGGCTCTGCAGGTACACAATCGATGGACATAAACGGTCACTGACCCCTATGGGACGTTCCAGATGGAAAGGAAATTAGCCTGCAGGTTGGATAATTCCCAGTAGCCACCTTTATCCGTGGCAAGAACACTCTTTAGCACTTAAGGTAATTTATGGCCATAATGTGTCATCAAGCAGCGTCACAGTGGAAGAACTGTAGGTCATCTAGAGATTATGTCATGCGATAACCTCTCCCGTTTACTCACCTTCTATTAAACTTCTCTCCCATGCACAATGTTTTAATGAATGTGTCCTTTTCATAACTTCGACATGACTGCCTGTAAAACAATTATAATAACAACATATGAATACCTCAAGTACAACTGTGAAACAATAGCTGTTCTTAATCAACCTAAAATCTCTGAACAGGGGTGTTTAATAGCAAAGATATTACTTGCGTAAGTATGTCGTTTTATTTTTAAACCTATTTGCACATTATTAGTTGTGACCCACTGAGAGTGTTAATTAAAAAACATCCCCTTCCTGCACTCAAGGGCAATGGCTATATTTGGCTAATCTTTATTAGCAGTGCTGGTTCGACTCGTGATCATTTTATCAAGATTGTTTTGGAGACTAGGTTTCTAGAGCAAAATTCTTTGCTGAATGAGTGGTTTTGTCGTAGGATCAAATTCAATAAAAGAGCTGATAATCTGCGCAGCATGAGAAGATGAATCTAAAGGTACCCACACACCACAAGATAATCAGGCCGATTTTGGGCCCAATTCTCCCCTCCCGAATCAGATCTCCCTGTGGGGTTAGGTGTGTTAAAGAAGTAGTTCACTTTTAAAAAAAAACTTTTGCTGATAATTTGCTCACCACCATGTCATCCAAGGTACCCACTTCTTTCTTTCTTCAGTCGAAAAGATATTAAGGTTTTTGATGAAAACATTCCAGGATTTTCTCCATATAATGGACTTCATTGGGAACCAAACGGTTCAAGGTCCAAATGAGAGTTTCAGTGCAGCTTCAAAGGGCTTTAAACGACACCAGATGATGAATAAGGGTCTTATCTAGTGAAACGATCGGTCATTTCAAAGTTTTATAAGCACGAATGCTCGCCTTGCTGTGTTCATTGACTCTCCTGTTTAAACTCGTTCATCAAAATGAACAAATCTTTTTTCGAGTCATGACTCGAAGAGTCCTAGATAAGACCCTTATTCATCGTCTGGTGTCGTTTGAAGCCCTTTGAAGCTGCACTGAAACTCTCATTTGGACCTTGAACCGTTTGGTTCTCAATGAAGTCCATTATATGGAGAAAATCCTGGAATGTTTTCATCAAAAACCTTAATTTCTTTTCGACTGAAGAAAGAAAGACGTGGACATTTTTGATGACATGGGGGTGAGTAAATTATCACCAAAAGTTTGTTTAAGAGTAACTGAATCTGCTTGGAAGAATGTCGGGACTTTGGTGTACATTTTAGGACATCTCGGATCTCAGTCATATATGACGACAAGGCATCATGCATCAAACTAAAAGGCTTCAGCCATTGGGCGAAATGGGATTGCACCTCAGACTGAAAGGCTTCAGGTCTCAGAAAAAACAACTTCAGGTCTCATACAATTGGACATGAGACGAAACAGCCTTTTATTAAAAGGCATCAGGCATTAAGGCATCGGGTGAAACAGACTCTTACAAAAAGGCATTTCGGCTGTTATATAAGTGCCACCTACTGTCAAGAGAGTGGATTTGGTTTTTCATTCAACCGCTTCAACTCGCAGACTAAAAATGACAACTGTGTAAAAGTAGCCTAATTCCACAGTAAAACACTGGTCTGAGGCTCAATGCAGTTTCTGAAGCCTTTTAGTCTGAGGCATGATGCCTTTTTGTCACATGACTCAGATCTCCTCATGTACACCGTACAAGGCGCACACATCTCAAATAGTGACTTTACAACATGTTGAAAATTTGCGTTCAGAAATTGAAACAAACGTGCAAGCACTCTGTCGATTGCCACGAAAGTCCATGCCGTCTCCATGACTTCATCCAAACCTTTTTCTTTTTTCCGGCAAATTTTCTGTAAAAAGCAGTCCAAACACTGTTAACGTCCATTTCTTGTTGCTCATCATCCGCCATCTTCATTTACTCCAAGTCCCGTTTGTCTGGGAGAGATTTTGCTAGATTTCCCCTGCCGTGTTTCGCGTCGGGATTCTGGGTGTTTGTGAATGGAATCGGTTAATCCGGATTCACACTTGCATGATTTGGTCATCTGAGACAAATTTGTGAATCCTAAACAATTCCTCGTTTCCTTGGCCGAAATCTGAAGTCTTTGATAGTTTTTTTGACATGTTCACCGACACCGACAGCCACTTGCTCCACACATAGTCTTTTCAAGAGAAGCCATGATGAAATGAATGCTAGTGATTGTTTTTGTTTCCTAGCCACAATCTATCCCAGATGTAAATGCAGCTCACATCACTGAATGTGTCATGGATTGATGATGTAAAACTCTGGACAAGTGCGTCTGTTTTTAACGCGTCTTGACTGCCGTACAGTCTGACATTAATGACAACTGACATCCCACAGTGTGACATGGCTTACAGCGGGGGGATAATGCTTGTACAGCAAGAAACAGTCGTAAAGGACTATAATAAGTCATGCAGTATGCACTCGACTTTAGTGTGTGATGTGCTGATTTTCACATCTTGGCATTCCACATACTATAGGAAACAGTTCTGTTTAATCTATGATTTTTTTTTTTTTATGTGGTCTCTCATATTTTGAAAATCTGGTAAGTGTGGGGCGGGCCAGCCATTAGAGAGACCCTGCTGTCTGAGAGAGCATCAGGCCCAAAATAGCACGGAGTTCCCTTATCTACTGAGTCTCAGAGCATCAAAGATTGATGACGGTCCACATATGTCTAAGGCAAGATGCAAAGTCTCATTATTCTTTCTAGTTGGAGGCATTTGAAGAACTTTAATTATAAGGGATTTTGCGCCGATTTTGATCAAATGTTTGTGACGCTGAAAATGTTACCTCGGATGTTTTTGCTTCCATTGCAGCTCAAGATTCTCACTAGAGTGTCTCAAATCATGCTGGAGAACATTATCAGGTTTTGTTCAAGTCTTTGACATTGACAGTGAAGGGGACTGGAGAAACACTAGTAAAGTCGTATACATTTTTAAATTTAAATTTCCACTCAAGATGTGTTGAATCATTTGTAATGTTATTTAAATCAAACGAAAACTTGCTTAGAAAAATGCTAAACATAAATTGTTATGTAATTATATAATACATTGTATTTAATTATTTTATTTTTAATTTTTAAAAAATTATTTTGCAAAACAAACATTTTCATTAATGGGTTTTAGTTGACATTTGGGGGCCACTGTATTTTTCCACATTTTGTACCATGCCCTTTTAGCATTGCTATATTATTTAGTGACAAATAATAAAATAACAATGATTTTATATATATATATATATATATATATATATATATATATAAAAAATCATTGTTATTTTATTATTTTATTATTATTATGCTCTACAGTTTAGCATTTTTCTAAATTTAAGCATGTTATAACATGCTTAAATTTAGAAAAATGCTAAACAGCATTTAATTCAAAAAAGAAAGAAAGAAAACACGCATTGTCTTTAGTGGCCTTTTGTAGTAAATTCAGTGGCCCTATAGTATTTTTCCACATTTTATTCAGCAGTTTTCTAACAATGCTAAATTATTTATTGACAGACAATTAACCAAAAATAACAAAACAATTTTTTACATCTAAAAAATGAAAATAAATATTTTATTAGAAAAATGTTAAACATTATTTTTTAATTATTTTAATTGTTTTTTTTTTTTTTTTTTTTTTAAAGCAAAACAAGCTTTTTCAATTGTTGCCTTTTCTAGTAGACTTTTGGGCCCCACTAGCACATTTGACAAACATTACAATATTCAGTCTAAAAACGTATGGTATATATGGTATATCCGATTGAAGCGGCTTGTCGAACATGAAAAAAATGTTGAGCGGGACAATTGTCCATCGGGAATTGACTGGATGGTTGTGATTTGCTGTAATGTGAATGACAGGTTGTCCCGCCTTAACGGCATTAAACACGTCATCAGAGAAGAGATGTCACTGCAAGAGGGAGGGGAAGTTATTTTGAGTAAAGATTACAATAAATACTGCAATATTCCAACAAAGAAGTACATTTTGATTTCATGGTGACTTTAAATTAAAGCATAAATAGAGGTCCGAACACACTCTGAGCACTGCTGTTTGTGTACATGTACATCTCTAACATCCATGTTTCAGTCCAACGCTTAGTGTGATGTGTGTTGGTCTTTTATCTGAGCTTGCCTCTGTGGCGGGAAAGATAAGAGGGTTTGGGAAGGCCTTTGAACTGCTGAGCATCAATCGCAGATTTCTCTCTCCTCGATTTCCTCATCTGCGGACCTCAATGTATTCGACTACCTCAGCCAACCTGAGCAGTGGACGCAATAATGATAGCCGACGCTTAAAGCAGAAAGTGTTGTGTGCAACATATAGTGTTTTGCTCTCCCTCTCTCTCTCTCGCTGTGCTTCTTTGTCTCCTTATCCATTTGCATGCCAACCCTTATCAAGCTGGGCTGTCCTTTCTTCAGCCTGCATCCTAATTATGCGTCTCAAAGAGAGACCGGCCGGCCCCCTACATCTGACAAGCGTCTAAGGAAAAAGCTGCATGTCTGATGACTAAATCCTGTTTTCTCGAAAAAGCGCCCATCACTCAAACCTCATGTACGTCTGGGGACCCGAGTCTAACGTGCTCGCCGAAGGAAAGAAGGACGCTGCTTTCAGGTAAGGATGTCTCAGTTTACAATTATCAATGCTTTATGAAAGTTTTGTTTTATCTATATGTACACCTAAATCTTGTATGCAGAGATTGGGCTTTTTGGAAACTTAATTCAGGAATTACAGGTCTAATAAACAGCTGTCATTCCAGAGCAAATGCTAAATTTGAGTAGTTACTGTGCAACGTTTTACATATTTTTGGCACTATGGCTTAACCTGGTAGATTTGACCCCTATTTTTACATTAGTTAACATGAACTATGTGCAATATGTTTTTAGAGCCTTATACCTATTGTAAAGTGTTACTGTTTAAACAACCCGTTTGCTCAAATCAGATCATCGGGCTGTATTTTTAGACAAATTTCTGTAATTTATTGTATGACGCATTGGAGAAATGTCCTTTATATTTATGACAAACATGCTATTCATCCTTTTAAGTTTGTTTTAACATCTACCAATTTTGATCTGTTTCATGGTATATGGGGAGATATTAAATCACAAGTACCGGTTATGCTAAAAATGGTGTTTTTTTAGCTGTGATAATAATAGACCAAAGGGTTATTAAGGGTTTTATGGTCAGTTTGTTTAATATATATTGTAAATGGTTACGGTGTCATACCACAAATTAGTGTGAAATCTCTTTCCCGCTGCCCCAACCGCCCCCCCTCAAGGATAAAGTAATGAACACTCATCTGCTTGTGACAGGGCCTCTCCATCTCTCTCTCGGTGTTAGACAGGAACATGCGCTTCTTCATACAAAAGAGCATCTGTAATAGCAACAGTTAGCTTAGCACGAACACAAAATAAACACAGGAGCAACCATTTTGCAATGTTTTTCTCAGCCGTTCTCACGGCATTACTAATCATTTTTATAGGCTTACTTGAAATTAACACATTTTAAGTGTTCAAATTGACTCCATATCAATTTAATTGAACTGTAAACTCTTATTTTGCCATCCCTGAAACGAAATATAACAATTCAATTTCAATCTACAGACATTTGCTTTATGCAAATGAATCTGCATTAACACAAACCGCTCTTGTGCATTTACGGCTGATCTGGAGGCAGTGTTGCTTTTCTTCAGGCCTGGATTTTTTTCCGAGGAAAATGATCCAAGATCAGCAGAAAGGCAATTAAAGGTAAAAATCTATATTTAGGATGTGTGTTACTTCCTCGTAGCTGTGGGCGAGAAGTTCGAATGCTGTTTAATGAACAGGTGGAACGGCAGGAGGAGATATATAAATAATGCACACTGAGAGGCCTTTATATAAGAGCTGTCAGTTTGATTGCTAAAAGAATTGCTTGCGTTCACTCTCTTGTACAGGTTAAAATAGAAAACAGATGGCCCTCCTGTTGTAAAAGTGATACCTGGATATTAAATACCTGATAGCCCATAAAATTGCTCTGTTTGTACGGTGTGCTGTTTCTAGGCCCTAAGTGGTTTTACAAATTACAGTCTGGTCACTATAGGAGGGTTTGATTCTGATGTCAGACTATAGAAATGTGTTGAGATTTCATTTACTTGAACAAAAAGAAATTGCTGTGAATGGTTCTAAAAATTTGTCTCCTAAAACTCACATACTATTTACATTCAGGTTCAATTTGTTTACATTAGTTAATGTATAATGAACTAACAATGATCAACATTTTTAACAGCAGTCAAGATTAACGTTTTTTATTAATATAGTATTATTCATCATTGTGAATTACTGTTAATTGCATTAACTGTTAACTCGTATAACATTGCAAATGTGTATGTGAAGATATTAACATTAACCAAGACTGATTAATAAATGCTGTAAAAGTATTTTGATCACTTGAATTTGTTCACATTAGTTCAAGTAAACATCAATTAATGATATTGACAGCATTTGTTAATCTAATTTCAGAATTTTCTAATACATTTTTAAAATCAAAAGTTGTACCTGATAACATTAGTTAATGCACTGTGAACTAACATGAACAATGATGATTGTACTTTTATTACATTAAGAAATAATGCTCATTGTTTATGTTAACTAATGTATTAATTAAAGTTGATGAATAGGACGTTTTAAAGTGTTACCAGTATTTGTCATTGTCAGTTCATGATACTTATTACCTAAGGTAAACAAATTAACTATTAGGTATTATTATTATTATTATTAGGCTATTTATTTATTATTGAATGAGTAGATGTGTATTATATTAGTTTAATGGTCAACATTTCTCTATTACTTCAACTAATTCCCTTTTAAATGTTCAGCCTGTAACCCCACAAAAAACAGCATTGACAACTGAGAAGATTTTGTTTAGCCTAATTCAAATGCGGTTTGTAAATGCAACACACACTGGGGTCATTTCAACCGGCAATCCCATTCACATATGTCACTGAACATGGGAAAGGGAAATTAATAATTCATGTGGTTGTAAGCAACATTGCCTCCAAAACCAGCAAGCAAATGATACTTCATTCTGCCCAGGGACCCATACAGGTCTCCAGGACTAATTACTTAATGAAAAAGATCAAATTACCAGCTTCCTTGATCTGCGCCCCAGATCCACTCCAAAGTTCAGCTCCAAACTTTGGCATCACCTTCATTGACATCAGCACTCAATCCTGTGAAAACCGAAACTACTATCCTGAAATCTAAACAACTTTACTCTTGAATTTCAAGGCTTTTTTGATATTGGTTTAGGTGCGTGTGTTAACCAATTGAATAAAATGTAATAAAAGTATACTTAATTGTTTGAGAACAGATTTCAATGCAACTGATGTGCATTTATTCTCTGATATTTTTGCAGGTTACGGAGTTTCATGACTGCCTGACCACCAGATTGACCCCCCATCGCATCACATTAAGATTAGATATGTGATCAACTCATAAAAAACTAGCTGATCACTGTAATTTGTCATTTTTTACGCAATATTTTTATTTTATTAAAATGGCCAAGCTTAAGTTGCCATTAAGCTGATAAATCTCACAAAGTAAGGGCACTTACTACATGGACAATTGCCCTTGGCCAACTTCATAAACATCATGAGTAGGCTACAATGGTGCCAGATCAGGACTGTGATTTTAGTATTCCTCCAGTTCCTGAATCATCTCTACTGGGGAACGAACCAGCAGGATTGAACGAGCACCATGGATGATGGTCTTAAATAAATTATAGCTACCATTTTTGCAATTTTGTCATGCCGTGGTTCATCTCGTGCAGTTATCTGGCGAAAGTTAGCTAAACCTTGGCTAATTGACGTCCTAAAGTTATTTTCAAACATCAATGATTTTTGTGATACAGAAATCTAAAAGTGATCGGAATAATAACAATATTTCTCACGCTTTATGGACATATCACCAGAATCTGACTTCAATAGACCCGGCCGGCCTTTTCACACAAGTGTAAGTCGTCATAGTTGGGTAAAGCGGTGAATGACTACATTAAATATATTTTTTGTGTTCCCATTTGCTCAAATAGCGTAAGAGAAATTCCACAATAGTGTTTTCAGAACTTTAAAAACAGGAAAAACATTGAAATTGATAAACGGCTGTCGGAAGAGTGAAATAGGCTTTCATTTTTACCGTCACTTCCACAGGCGCTGAAACACCCTCACGGCAGCGTTTACTTAGTATTTTGATGCAAATCTAATATATTATAATGTTATAAATGTACATATTTTTTATGAAGAAAACGTTATATAAAAAGCTGCAATGTATGCTGATGACGCGTCATCACAGTCTGTGACAATGGTCCATGAATTGCTCGAGCGGCCTCCTGTTGCTATGGTTGCACTATCAGGCGAACATAACTTTTATTCGTTAGCGTTTGTTCGTTAAACCTACTTGTATACAAATTTAAACTAAGACCCCCCAACCTTTTGTTTTGATTTCTTTTAGGGGGTTCGAGTCTTAATTCGGGGAGTCTGGTTTCGCCAACCTCCCCATATTCGCACCCTCGTACTGTGCACTTCCCTTAGTATAGGTTACTCATTCATATAAACACTTCGATTGTCACATGTAGGTGGGGCTCCCTGTAACACCATAGTGACGTGATGAGGCTGGTCTTGGTTAAACCTACCAATGAAACGGGCCTTCTTGACTCCACCGGGGCTGCGCGCAGCGAAAGGGTGCCGGATCATTGCAACGCAAAGCGGCACTCCGCCGCAGGTGAGGCGGGGATGCAGCATCGCTACTCAGGAGCCGTCCATCAGCAGCAGCACCACCACCAACAACACGCGGAGCACAGGGGTGGCCTTAGACAGACCGCACACCCCTTGCCAAAACAGAGCCAAGAGCACCTGCCTAGCCCTTTCGGTCAGGAAGCACCAGTCAAAAGCCAAGGAAGCAACATAAGTCTCACAGACTGTTACAAACCCTCCCTAAGTCGGCAGCAGAGTGTTGGAGGGGCTGCCAAAACTGCGAATTGCCAACTAGATCATTGTTCGTGCAGCTGCGGATTGCCAGAGCATCAACATCTGTTGCAGCAGCAGCAGCAGCAGCATCCAAGCCAGCGTCACAACCCTCCACCTTCCCTCCAGCTACAGGTTCAGCAGCAGCGGGTGCTGAGGAGTAGCCTGCCCAACTGCTGCGCTCGAGGATCAGGGGAGCTGAGAAGCCAGCAGCCGTCTCTGCTGCAGCACCGTGAAAACGACAGCCTGAGATCAGGCGAGCAGCGGAATCCAGTTCTTCACGCCCGTGCATGCACGCCTGATAGATGCCAGGGAGCCAGGAACTCCGTTTCTCCGCGGAGTAGAAGCAGCCTGCTGTCTTCTGACAGTCGCGTGTGCCTCGAGGAGCATAAAAATAGACACGAAGGATATAAGGTAAACCTGCATATACCAACTCATTTTTTGTTGTCGTTGCGCACAGACCGCATGAAATACGCATCGTTTATGCGTGCACTCTGAAGTTTATGCTTAACAGGTGGCCAGTTTTATCAATGCACCCGATTACGCAGGCTTCAGCTCGACTCTGGGAGGTCATGCTTGATATCGCTTCCCATTTTTAACACCACATTTCGGCCGTGTAGATGCAGAAGGCTGTTTTGTAGTTGCTAGGTGTTGGTATTCGTGCTAACCTCGAAAGCATGGAAAGAAAGAAAAAGGCGGGGGTGCTTGCAACAGGCTGTCCATGATTCCCATGATGGCGTTTAATAGTAAGTAAACATTATGAATTCGCATCCGTTTATTCCTACACCTGCATCATTCATATTTAGTCTAGCCCTGAATATTTTTAGCCTACCTCATTATGTGAGCCACATCCATCTATCTATCTATCTATCTATCTATCTATCTATCTATCTATCTATCTATCTATCTATCTATCTATCTATCTATCTATCTATCTATCTATCTATCCTTATATCAATGCATCCTTTGCCTGAAAGGAGCAGGGACAGAGAAGCAAGGCAGAAAGGCAAATCAGTGTCATTCATTCCTTGTGGGAGAGCCGACCCTGTTTCTGCCTCGCTGTTCCATTTTCTGCCTGTGCAAGCCAAGGGAAAGCCCCCCTGAGTGGCACTAACATGCACTTCAGGCCTGTATTATTCATGATGGGTTAGACATCACTGCCAGAGTGAAGAGACATTAGTATTAGTTTAGTTCACAATGCACAGCAGATGGAGGTAAAAGCCATCACCGATCTCTTCTCATGAAATCTCCCATAAGTCTTTCCAGTTGTTTGCGTCAGTCTGTTTCTTTCTCCGCTTGACTGGTTCTTGTGTTTGACTGCATTGTGCTTGTTCTAAAAAAAAAAAGTATTTGTTCAGCCTGTGCCGTTTGATTAATTTGTATTCGAATTAATTGTTTTAATCCACGGTTCAGAAACAGCATTGGTAGGAAGTAAAATAACCCTTGGAGCTTTTCAACAAATCACTCTTTTTGGAAAACCATGCTGAATTCTCTCCACGGAAGGGTTGTAATTATGTAAATGTTTACGCAGAGTTTACAGTTAGGCTTCTTCTTGAGTGGAAGCACTGGGATGTGCTGGGGATGTTGCATGGGGGAATGGCTGGTTCAGTATGAGCGAGCAGGCAGAAGGGAGAATCTCTGGGTGTTGTTGGTCTGCAGCTGGTGTTCTGCTGCTTAATCAAGGGTAATTTGTGGAGAGTATAATTGGCTGAGCTCTCTTGTCTCTGTGTGTATTCGAACTAAAACTAGCCAACGGCTTTCTCTGTAATACCTACAGTCTGTGTGTGTGTGTCTGTCTACTATGTCAAACTGTTTCAAGTACTTTTGCTGAGATAGTATAGATTAAAAGAATGTGTTCTGATGGCATACTTGGTCATCGGTTTGAATGATGGAAAGTACCAATTAGGGCTGTCAAACGATTAATCACGATTAATCGCATCCAAAATAAAAGTTTGTGTTTATAATGTGGGTGCACTGGGTATAATTATTTTGTGTGTATATATATATATACATACACACACACATGCTGGTAAATTTAAGAAAAAATATTATTTATATAAAAAATATTTATATATAATATATATACAGTATATACATGAAAATATATACAAGCATGAGTGTGTATTTATATACATCAAATAATTATACACAGTGCTCCCGAATATATTATGTAAACACAAACTTTTATTTTGGATGCGAATAATCGCGATTAATCGTTTGACAGCCCTACTACCAATTAAAACACTGCTATTTCGGAATAATTCATCCATTTTTAAGTACCTGATCATTCTCCTGTTTTCTGTTGTCTAATGACAACAAGAACAGCAACAAAAAACCTTTGATTTGAAAGAATATTCTTGATTCTGCAGTTTTTGTTCTTGTTGTTTTGTAGCACACGAAAGTCTCTGCAGTTATTTGTGTGACAGTGCTCTACATTTCAGTTGGGGGAAGGTTGGAAGTGATGTTATGAAGTCAGTGGCTTGAGGATGTAAATGCTGTCTTTTTAACCCTAAACTGTTTTGCAAGTGAAACATTATAAAATCAATTTTTTACTACTTTCCATGATAATGGAGTTGGCTGGAAAGCGTTCCCAGTATTCCTTGTTTCAATGGCATTGCTAATGTAAATCTAAAGTTTTTTTTTGCCATGCATGCAAAAGCCATATCCATTACCTTTAAAATGTAATTAGGCAGTAGGCATGATTTTATGGTGTTCATATTCGTATATCTGTATCACTGTATAGCAGGATGAGGTGCACAGATTCTTAAAAATAAAGGTTCTTTATTAGCATCTATGGTTCCATGAGGAACCTTTAACATCCATTGAACCTTTCCATTGCACAAAAGATTATAGTGGAAAAAGGTTATTTAGATGTTTAAAATGTTCTCAAACTAAAGGCCAAATCACACTGCACTGACAGACGCCGCTGACCAATGCGGACTATGGCCAGTTTACAGTCTGTCACTTCTCAGACATTCCACAACCCAACAAACAAGCGAAAACAAGAGCCAACCAACATCAACAGACGCTGACTGGGGGAACACACTGATCTGTCAAAACCTGGTTGCGTTTGTTGCAGTGTAAATTGGCCTGAAGAAAAAAAAAGGTTTTAGTAAGAACGAAGTGTTCACTGAAAAAGGTTCTTTAAGGAACAAAAATGCTTCTTTTATGAAAACCCCCCTTTTGGAACCGTTATTTTTTAAAGGCCAATTCACACTGCAGTGATAGACGCAACCAACACTGACAACCACCAGATTACAGTACGTCTTCTCATGATGCATTCCTTGAGCAGACAACCGCAGATTTAACATGTTCAATCGGCAAAAAAAGCTCAGACGGATGCCAACAGTCGCAGATGGGTAACATGCAGATCCAACAAAAACCTGACAAATTATCTGTTGGCGTCTGTCGGTGAAGTGTGAATTGGCCTTAAGAGTGCACTAAAGGTTTGGAAGAATAATAATATCTAATTTAAGGCACACTATGTAAGTTTTACCGCTAGAGGTCACAAAACAAATAACAAAGGTGTAGCTTGATGGCGCTGTGAATGAGCGTGCCGCATAATCATGGGAGTTGTCGTCTTCACCTCCACAGTTGATGGAAAGACAGAAATCGTGTTTATGGGGGGGGGGGCCGAGAGCGCGGGACATTTTTTATTATTCTTGTATGCCGCTGCCGCTCCCTTCGTTTTTGTTGTTTATGCATATTTTACGATTAAAGTTGCGATTTATGTTTGGCTCCTTCCCTGAACTTGAACTTTTTTACAGTTACATTTGATAACTTAAATTCACATTTATTTATTTTTTCATACTAATAAAACAGCCTACTCAATTACTTCTCAGACAGGTCACTTTATTTGACAAATTTAAATTGCGGGGTAATGCAGCTCTGTTTTACTTGATCAGAAAAATAATATAAAAAACGCATGAGTGAGTTGAAAGTTAGCCTATTTTATAATGTTACTGTGCGTTCACTTAGTGGCGGGTATGACACGTTGCACACTGCAGTAAGCTAGATCAATATTAGAATATAATATTAGTAAAAGCTGGTTGATTGCAATTCATTTTAAAACATTGTATGGTGGAGAAAATGCTGTATTACTTTTGCTACAAAAAAGCTCTTAATGATTATGCTGTAGTATAGTCACTTGACTAAGTAAATAGTGTTGTTTTTGAGGCATTATACAAACATGTTACTCACAGTAAATAAAAAAACAACAATAATACTAAGCGTGTTGAGTTATAGAACATTGATTCATTTTCTGTCGATAAAGGGATCCAAACAGTTGCTCATCTGTCTAATAAAACATATAATATGTTAAAGCATCTTTGGTGTTTGCATGGTTTCTAAGGAACCGGAAATCAAGGGTAAAGCGGATATGACATCATTGACAGGTGACACAATGACATGGGATGTAACACTGGTTGCAATAACCGATTTCACAGCATTTAAACATTGTTAGAAGCATTTGGGATAAAAGTCAACAAAATATAGGCTATTACATATTTTTTAGGTAATTTAATCCAAAAATCTTGCATATTGTGCCTTTAATGATAATAATAGTGAAATGAATTTCGAATTTGTTCCTATTACATCTCTGGATAGCTGTTAGTGAAGAAGTGTTTGGGACGGTGTGTTCTTGTGATGCCATCACCATCTATCAGCTCTAGTGTGATCAAGTCACATGGTCTTATACGGTTCATTTGCTTGACTCAAAAAGTTCTCACATGAGCAAAGATGGCAGATTTCTTATTGCATTTTTCTGACCGAGGGTCCTGAGTGAGCCAGACAACTGGCATTGAGATGCTAACTGATAGCTTTCTCCAGGTATCATGACTCAATCTACATAAAAATCACATTTGCTGAAACAAATCACATACAAACGTTTTTCTTATTTAGTCTCCTACGTCGCATGAGGTGCACATTTTTGCAACACGAGACGTGGGAAGATGCCTGGTTGTAAAGATCACATTTTGATAGTGGTGAGCAGTTAGAAAAGATATTCTTGAATAGTGGGATCTGTAATCAGCTCTCAGGTCCGCTGCAGACATTTCATTACAGAAGGAGACCTGAGGAACAGAGAGTCTGATGCCACATCTGAATGAGTGCAAATTCAATGTCAAAATAGATTTGCTAAATTGGATTTGTACGGACCAAAGCTTGCAGAGAGGGGAATGAAGGAGCAGGGGAGGGTGAAGTCTAAGGGCCCTTCAGTTTTGTCACGCACAGAACAGAATATTGGTTAATATGGAAAATCTGTGAAATTGGGAGGCTGAGACAAATAAAAACGCCATTGCAATGTGTTAAATGCTTAGCCTGTTGCATCAAAATTTAGTAAATGGAGATGGTGCAGATGTTGTTTTTTGTGACTGATATATGTAGACGTATCCCAAATCAGCATAAAATTGTACCCG